TTGGCTATATACAGTCGTCAGGACCTTGGGCGTCGATGGAGGACAGATCGGTGATATCAGATTGTGAGAAGAGAAAAGGGAAGGAAGCGTAGTGAGGAGGGTCGTCAAGGAGAAGCTTGATCTCCTTTTGCATTCGCAGTTTAAGCCTTGCTTCTTGCGCCATTTTGGTCGGCTTCTACTTCAGAGATTTTATTTTGGATCTGTGTCTACCTTTGTTTTTCAGCTTATAAGCAGGTTGAGAGTTAGGAGAGTATTAGAGAAAAGAGTTTTGGCTCCTCATCGGAGCCAACTGCGAGGGGTGGCCATGGCAGTCGTGCGTTTTGAGGGGTAGAAGTTGAAGAAGAAGTTGGATGGGAAATGGGTAGAGAGATCGGCGCAGAGAGAGGAGAAGAAGAGAGCATTGCGGCAGATTGTTATTTTAGATGGATTTAGTTTAGGTTTAGTTTAAGTTAGGGTATATGTTATAATTTTAGAGTAAATTAGGTTCAAGTCCCCCATATTTAAGTGTCTTTCCATAAATTAGTCATTAAGGGTTAGTTTTAAGGTTTAGCCTTTTCTTTATCCTGATTTTGATGTTCTCCCAAATTTATGAGATTGTTATAATATTGTTAGGTAATTTATATATAGGTCCCTTATTTATGCATTTTTTTATTTTAAGTCTTTGTTTTAATTTTTGATTCGTATGCCTAATTTTACGTTTATCTAAATTTAGTCATTACTTTCACATGTATATACATACCTTTTTAATTTTAAGTTTAGCATGTTATGATTTTGTTTTTATATTTAGGTTACACTTGTACATTATATGTTAATATGCATGGTTTATAATTTTTAATTTTAAAATGTATGTATTATGCATGGTTTTTAATTTTAAAATGCATGTATATAATTTTTGTATGTCACATTGTATGTTTTTTTTAATTGATTTTAGCATGATATTTTTCTTTCTTTAACAATTTGCATGATAGCTTCACTTGCATAACTCGACCTATTACATAATCGGACTAAGGGTAATACCCTTTTAATTTAAAATTGTTGAAGTGGGCAGTCATAACTGATTTGAGGTCCGCTTTTAATGATTTTAAAATAAAAGTGTATCCCGAAAGTGAAACCAAAAAAATTGATTCGTCACCTAAAATTTGGGAACGAGAGAAAAAGAAATGTTCGTTTATTTAAATATATCGAGAAAAGGTTGTTATATCTTTAAGATCTGGTCTCGATATTTGTAAATAATCGAACATTCTTTATCTTTCTAAAATGACTTGGTAATTTTAATTTAATTTGTTTGAGTGTTTTTAAATGTTTTAAATTTACATTTTTACTTTATGGGATCAAGAATCAAAATAAACTCGAATTTATAAAGTTCATTGCAAAGACGTTAATTAATCGACTAGGTACCGATTTAGGGCGTTGTGGGGGTGCTAATCCTTCCCTACACGTAACCGACTCCCGAACTCGGATTTTGGTAACGCAGACCTCAATTTGTTGTTTTAATTAAAATTAATTTTTATTTAAAATGACAACGCATTTTCGGGTGTCCAATCACACCCTAATCAAAGATTGGTGGCGACTCTTCGAACCTTATTTGTCGATCGTAAAGGAAATTCAAATTTTTCGAAACGAGAGGTCTTCTAAATCGCATATGTTTTTAAAATGAAAAGAGACAATTAAGAATTAATGTGGTTTTCAAAATCTCACTTTTTTACTCTTTAAAGAAAGAAAATCGTTTCGACATTAACATTGATGCATCGGTGCACTATAAATATGCATCGATGCATTCTGCCCAGAACCTCTTTTTGAACCCGAAAAATCCTTCTTTTTGGATTAAATCCTTCATATTTCAACCCCTTTCATATTCCTAACTTTCATATACATAATTAAACTCATTAATATTCATTTATCTCATCTTTAACCTTAATATCCTCTTCTCTTTAGGAATTTCAAGAATCATACCCTATTTTCCACATGTTTCAAATCCAATTCTAACACTTAATACTTCTTAATTAAGCTGATGGCAAGTCAAATCCAACTTTAGAACTTCAAAAACCTTTCTATAACAAAAGTTCATTTATAAACCCTTAATAAAAATTCCTTTCTAATTCTATCTCTTTGGTGTTTTAAACTTATATAAGCTTTCCTTAAGCTTATATAACCCTCAAAGACTCAAATCCAACTTAAAACTTTCAAGAAATCAAAAGCTAAATCAAACTTACCTTTGCTCTTGGCTTCCACGTGAAGAAGAAGAAGAAAGGAGAAGAGAACTCTGGAGAATTCTCTCCCTTTCCACGTGTATATAATTCCAATTTTTTTCCTTAAATGATCAAATGACCATTTTACCCTTTATTTCCTTTAATAATTACTAAATAACCTTCATCATATATATCCAATAATCATTGAACTACTTCATTCTTCTACTTTAGTCATCAAATTCTGAAACTTTACAATTTGGCCACTAACCCATAATTTGGGATGTTACATAAGGTGAGTGCAATTTAATTGTACTTAAGTTATCAGTCAAACATTGGTTTGCGATGAGCCAGTGATAGAGTTATTATGGTAAGGAGTAATTTATAAAATGTATGTGATCTTTGTATGTATATGAGTGCATTTTAGTTTATAGGATTATAAGGAATTGGACTTGTGATAAGTCTATTTTCAATAGTTATAATGTATAGAGTATTGATTATAAGAATGTGAATGACATGAAATGTATGTATACTTGATTATATGAATTGATATGTGCTATGCGATTTATGGGATATGCCATATGTGAAAATAAAATATGAACTATAGGGAAGGATTATATGATATATATATAAGAACATATGTGAACAAAATATAACATGCATGTTTACATGAACACATGAGATATAATATAAGTTATATGATACGATTTATATGATTACATGCACATGTGATATATGTTATATGATATGGACCTATGTGACTACGTGAGAAAGAATATATGTCTATGAGAAGGCATAAGAACAATGTATAAGCTATGTGGCATATGAATATGAATCATATGGAAATGTTCTACGTGTAAGTGAACTATGCGATGATATGATATGTGATAAATATGAAAAATAATGCCCATGTTATGTGTCATGAGATCTAGAGGTATAGTTGGCATGCCAAGAGTAGAGGGTCTACGAGTCAAATTCTACGTGATCCTTCGGGACGTATATATATTCTTTGGAGCATGTATGAGGTCTTTTGAGACACTTACTTGATCATTGGTATATGTATATGATTCTTAAGGAATTTATATGTGATCCTTATGGACAATCTTATATGGAACTACGGTGCAATTCTATGTGGCACTTCGGTGCATTTCTACGCGGTCCTTCGGGACAATTTCTACGTGGCACTTCGGTGCAATTATACGAGCTGTGGTGACAGCATTTGTGCACAACCTCAGTGTACTCACATACCTTCAGTTCTCACCAGTGTACCATGGGCTAATAAAGAGACACTAACAAATACAATATATAAGATGCATATGCTTGTGGTGATATGAAAGGTATTGCATGGATTATAGGATGTTATGTGTGTTTCTTTGTGAAATATATGTGTTCTATGATATGTATAGAAATGTTCAACACATGCTTATATGATCACAAGGAATTAGTAACAATAATATGAGTATTGAAAGGCATGTTAATGATATATGTTTTTATATGATATGATAGTATTTGCATATGTATACCTTTTGTTTATATGAAATGATATATGGTTATAGTTTATGTTTAATATGCCTCACTAAGTCAACGACTTAGCGTGTGATTGTTTCACGCGTAGGTTCTGAAAAGAGGAAGATTGGTAAAAGTTTTACAAGACAGGTCAGTTTCTCCTTTCCAAAGATTAGATCAGAAAATAAATGTATAATATGTATTTTGTAACAATGATAGTGGTTGGCATGTAAATAAAGGTTTAAATCCGATATGTTTTAATCGGTTTTGTAAAATCATATGATTGAATTTTATAATGTTTTAAATGTATATATATATGTAAATGGTAAATGTATAGAGATGAACGTTTTAAATTTTATAAATTTATACGTATTTTACGAAAGTTACTGTAGCAGTACCGTAGCAGGATATCGGTTCCCTGTAGCAGGGGAATCGGTTCCCCTTTTTGAATATGAAAAATTTTAACATTCGGTACTGTAGCAGGTACTGTTTATTATTGTTCATATGGTACTGTTCATAAATACGTTTTTAATTGTAAATTTTATACGAAACACAATTTAATAGAATATTGTGGTATTTTCGTAAAGTGAGTTCAAATGTTTTAATATTTTGTAAGAAAAAGGTTTTAAAAAGTCAATGTGACATCTCAGACTCGTATTCGGGTTGGATAAAGGTTAGGGTGTTAAAAAAAGTTCACTAATTCTATCTAAAAAGTTTTGTGTATTATCATCTATTGTACACATATATTAACACAAACACGTAGCATTTTCCATTGGAAAAACATATGAATTAATCATAGTATGTGTTATTTATAGGTCCTCGTAGTTTCAATTCTCCTTAGTATAAGGGTCAAATTGAAAGGGAAAAAAACTGAGAATTTAGCTAAAAGTGACATTAAGGGAAGAAAAAACATGCAATTCTTTCCTCGAAAACAATGACAAGCACAATTCAGTTGAAACATGGAATTCTAGAATCAGTTGGGGGTAGTGGCATGCCATGGCTTCCAAGTTAAGGAGTAAGAGAATCTAGTGATTTCTTGGTTCATCTTACCATAAAAATACTTGCAATCTGCTAATTCTGTATCCGGTAAAATGTTTAACCTCAAAATCAAATCAAATGGTCCCAATTTATAATATTTCCTTTTAGAATATTCTATTTTATGCTTCCACATTGGTTTCAGCAGAGAGGCTCCTACTTCACCATCTTTAACAAAAGATGCATATTCCAGGCTCTATCCAGCCATTAGGAGAGCTCCCCAGGAAACAAGCAGCTTACATTCTTTGAACACAAATACATCATATATTATAATATTATTGCACACTCCTTATATAGCTACTAACACAAGAATGAATCCAATGGATGTATTGAGTTTACAGCAAATCTGACATCACCAGACACCAAACCTAAAATGCAACAGCCAACTCTATAACTCTTCTCTTTCTCTTCTGTTCAAAACACAAGAACAGTTTAACTATGAACAGACCATTACCAAGATCCCCAGAAATCATTGTTAGCCTAATTGTTTCCTGTTGTGCTGAACTGATATGCAATGGATGAAAAGGTACATTTGGCTTAGAGTTCCAGGGCAGGGTAAAAGCAACTCAGATGATTTAATGCTAAAACTCTCAGCGTCCTGTTTTGGGACGTTTCATTCCACTGCAATTAAAAGGAGAAACACTACCACTTGGACCGGGACTCTCCTCTCTGAAATTTGAGTTTAGCATTGTCAGCTCACGCAACTGCCGTCTCTTGATAAAATCTTGTGACTCATCCTACGTATGAGAATTCAAGTTTAGAGAAAAAAGGAAAGAAGGAAAATGGTTCTGCAGCGTAACTACGAGGATGCCAAATATTTTCATAGACAATTTCGTGACAAATAATGGAGTTTCAAGATGTAAGTATATATGAGAGCAACCTATGGCTATAGCTAAAAAACATAGAAGAACAATATAGCAATACATACCACAGGTTTCAGTAATTCTTCTACGATTTCCCGAGCCTGCCTAAGCCTTATATCGACAACATTAGCTGGTAAATCAGCCTCAATCAAGATGTGGAGTGGCTCATTCAGGTGCTCATAGCCAGGTCTACCTCTGAGCTGCTCTTCCTTCAGATGGAAAAAGATGGGAAATTATTATCCAAAACCATTTGATTTTTATGTTGAAAGAAGAAGATAAGAGAAAAAGTTAGATTTGGGGTGGGGGTGCTTTGGATGCATCAACCAGAAATTCATTGCATTTGATCTTCTTGTCAACTTCAGCTGAATTGCAATTGGGATATATAGCAAACACTAGTGGTATCTGAACTTTACAGGAACAAAGGTACTTTTCTAGCTTTACCTTGTCTGAATCCTTTATTGATCCTTTGCCTCTGACATATACACGGCAACCCAAAGTAGCTTCTACCCGCTTCAATGAATTGCCTCTAGGCCCTAGAAGTCGTCCAACAAAATTGAACTAGCAAGTACCAAAGTAAGAAAACCAGAGCCTAGACATCATTACTCATAAAAACATATGTTCCATTCAGTTGAATTATTATAATATAATTAATGACCAAGTTTTAATCTGATGTACTAGCTTACATTTGGATATGTATTGACAGGAATTTCAAGACGCAAGATCCTCTTCACATTGTATGAACTAGGGATTGCTGGTGCACGTTGCCAGTCCATTGGCATCCCAGGAGTTCCACTTCGTCTCTGTCAAAATACAAAAGGCAAGAGTAGCACAAAAGATCAGAAGGTTCAATCCACATGACTGCAAGGGGCACGTGAATTGATAATAAGTTTTAGCTTGAAATAACCCTCCTGCACTCTAACTCACTTGATTTTCCAAGATAATATTTTCCCAAAGCTTCATAAAAAGCTAGGGTACTAAAATGTGACAAAATAGATTTAGCATGCCATGTTAACCGATTGAAATACAAAATGATAAACGAAGAAGTTAATAGTTATACATCTCAGAAACCAAAAATGAACTGATAGATAGTCATCATATTGGGCAAAGCCTTCTGCAGTTCGAGTTAACTTGGCAACCATTGGATTTTGGACGGGAATAAACTTAGTTCCCATCTGAGTTACTTAAGCTAATCCATTGTCAAGTAAACTATTGGCGACTAAATAATATTTGTGTTTAGTGTTATCAATCAGAGGCCAAGACGGGTTAATAAGAAACTCAGATATTCACCATTTTATAAGGCTTTCTAGTGATAATTTGACTATTTTCCTTATTTATTGAATTGAACTTAGAAACCAGAGCCGAAAGCCATACTTTTAGAGCAGAAACATATTATACGCACTAATACATATGACTATGCATGCACCAAACAAATTGAAATGGGTCACTTGTAGAGGAATGGTATATATAATGTGTGCTCTGGCAATATGAATGTTACAGAACGCAATAAGCATAGAAGGAGGTAGAAGGAAACAAAACTCATAATTAGTGTAAGAACTGATTTTAAAGTTTATTTTTCAAACTAATAAAGCAAGAGAACTACTTCAAACTTTATTTTTGTTTGTGATCTTTACGATGTCAGAAAATAGAAAGACTTCAGCACGTTATGCTTCTCCTTTCTGTTTTTTAGACACTCAAATTGTAAGGGTATTTACCAGAAACAATCTTAAAGCACATTCAAAGAATCAAAAGCATAAAATTGTCACTTATAACCCAAATTGTGAACTTATATGGTGGCATGACATAAATATTGTGCAAATAGAAGAAAACATTCAATTAACCAACAAAGAATATAAACAATACCTCTTGAGGAAGATTATTCCAGCTGCCTAATCCAGTTCCAGAAACGTTCGACATAATGTTTGAAGAAGCCATGGGACTGGGGCTTCTATGCCTCATCCTGTCAATGTCACCAAAACCTTGGCTGGACATCATTCCAGAGACCCGAAATATCTCTGCATATGAAGACCATTATATATAAAACAACAGATTAAGCCATAAAACCATATCAATGCATGAAAGCAGTATAGCATTGAAAATCAAATTAGAAATACATAAAAGGACCAAATTGGATAATGAAGGTTGTAAAGTATGGATAGAAACAGAACATTAACCACAAGTAAAATAAAACAGATCCCCGTTAATTGGACAATTAAAGGAAAGACTTACAATGCAAGAACGTAGAGCTTTAGAGCATCATATAATATAAGACTAAATATAAAAGGGGGAAAATACACTTACAATGGTAATGCCAGTTGTAGGAAGGTAAACTAGCAGGAACAATATATAAACTTATACTTGCTGCTAAACAAAGAATGTGGACAGATTCAGATAAATTTCTTCTTATCCCAACTAATCAAAGGTGATAAACTCAATATCCTTGCACTCCGATTAAGCGTCAAAAGATATTATGAATTCAAATTTCGCAAAGCTATCAATCAGGGGTTTTTTTTGGGGGGGGGGGGGTGAGACTTTCACAGAGATTAACTGAATTTCTAGTTACAATGCTATTTCTTTTCTAAGCTAGCTTCGTAAAGTCAAACTTTCTTCTCGAGAGAGGTAAGTAAAACTTGAAATACAATGAATAAGCTTTCGAAATCCAAAACTTAAGAAGCTCTTTAAAATCGAATGCATCTGTGACAGATATATAGCCACTTGAATCAAAAGGGAAAAAGAAAAACACACCATGACCCAGATAGACCTGAGGTTTTTAATATGTAGTCAAGAATGTTTGCCAGCTGAAGATGACAGCATTTTTATCCTATAAAATCTTAGACAAACACCATGCAGTGACAATTTTAAACTACTAATATTTGTGTTGAGGCTCTATCCAAGATACAATGGTGTGGTGGGAGATGTCAAAGTTTCATTATTAAAGCACATAGCTAACTAAAAAAAAACATTGGCTTGAGTACATGATCAAGCCAAGACCATCACAATCAAAGAGAATAGGTAATAGAAAAGTAAGCATACCTGAACATCTCATCAGTGCACACAATCAAACTGATCTAACAAAGGTAATTAAAAATAAATAAAGAAAAACAGATCCAAGCATGAGAGAGTAAAGATGTAACCTTGATTTAGCAATCGGCTACATGCTGGAAGGATCTGCATGAAAGGACCAAGCTTTTGATGCTCCGCCAACAGCTCTGATAAGAGCTGACTGAGGACAGGCAAATAACCCAAAACCCGATCAGATATTGTTATATAAACGATATATATTGTATTATTACTATAGAGATATTTGAGATGAATTTGGCATAAAGAATACCTATCAATGTCTGGGGTGTTTCTAATATGTGGAGAAGCAGTTCTGACAGGGGAGAAGCGGTGATTATACAGACCTGACATAGCTAAGGATCCAGGTTTCGGTTTGAAGAAATCAGCACTTCAAGTTCAAGGGAGGCCTGGAAAAGAGAAAAACCAACAAAGAAAAGCGTTGGAAAAGGAACAAGGTAGGCAAAAAGACACGTATTTACTGCAGTGCTGACTGCTGGCTTAGAGGTGGGAGGTATAGGAAGGGAAGGCTGAGTATGGAGAAATTAGGGTGTGTGTATGAATGCAGTGAAGTCCTGTAGCATCAAAGACACGTGTCATACAGTACGAAAATCATGAATGGAGAAGGAATGATAATTTGACAATGATGTTGCCTGCCAGTGTCACTGCCACCGCAGTCTTAGCTGGAAATGTGAGTTGCTACTTGCTCCTTCCTAACGCTCTACTTGAAGCCAACCAAATTTAGGGTGGTTATGTGGTACTGCGTCTAAAAAACGATTAATATATGGCGTGATCGATTAAATAAGTGATCGATTAAAATTTAGACCGGTTATATTATATTATTTAATCGGAAATATTATAAAGTACAATAACATACTAGGTAGCGCTTATATAATGTAATAAGTAGCACTTATATTGACCTATTTTATAAGTAAACTGATATATTTATACTGATAGTATTGTAAATTTACCTATTACATTATAATATGTTGAAAGTGTCTATATTTTTTTATAAAAAAGATCGATACTTTTTTTAAAGTTATGTAATTTATGTTTCAATTTTTTAATAGTGTTTCATGTTTTCCACCTACAATATTAATTTAATAATTTCATTTGCACAAAAAATTATTTGATTGTTTTGATATTTTATAAAATATTATTTAGTATTTAAATTTAACAATATTAACCAAAGATAATAATAAATATGTAATATATATGTTTATTGTTTTTAATTTAATAATAATATATACCGTAACGTAAAAAATAAATCATTAGACGTCTATAATTACTAAATTAATATCTTAAAACTCACTCAAAAGATAACCTTAAATGAATGTTTTCCACAGTGAAAAAAGTATGGACACTTTTATAAAAAGGATAGATATTTTACAATATAAGCACTACCTATTACATTATATAAACGCTACCTATTACATTATATTAACGCTACCTATTATATCATATTTTTACCTATTATATTGAAAGTGTCTATACTTTTTATAAAAAGGATCGATACTTTTTTTAAAGTTATGTAATTTATGTTTCAATTTTTTTAATAGTGTTTCATGTTTTCCACCTACAATATTAATTTAATAATTTCATTTGCACAAAAAATTATTTGATTGTTTTGATATTTTATAAAATATTATTTAGTATTTAAATTTAACAATATTACCCAAAGATAATAATAAATATGTAATATATATGTTTATTGTTTTTAATTTAATAATAATATATATCGTAACGTAAAAAATAAATCATTAGACGCCTATAATTACTAAATTAATATCTTAAAACTCACTCAAAAGATGTACATACCTAAATATGTAGTTATTGTACATACATAAATTTAATGATAATATATACTTGTAGTTATTGTACATACCTAAATATGTACTGCGAATTTAATGTTGTACCCACCCTTTAACTACCACTACCACATCCTATTGAAAGCAGCACGACTGAAACGTGTTCAAAATGAACCTTTACTTACATCTCCATCAACTCCTGGACCACTGAACTTGCACAACAAAATTTTTGCCATGGATAATACTGATGTAGACAATGTTAAGCCAACCGAGGAATGCCATGAAGTACATAATGTTGATGAATCTGACAGATTGGTTGGTCAGCTCTTCTGTTCACGTGATCAAGCTTGGTACTTTTACAAGGGATTCGCACGGGAACATGGGTTTAGTGCACGTAAGGGAACAACACGGCTTGACGTGGAAGGGAATGTGAAGACACAAGTTTTTTGTTGTTCCAAAGAAGGGTTTCGAGTATCAAAAGTCAATACTGTTGATCGTCAACGTGCTCATACGCCAGTCACAAGAACATGATGTAAGGCTAGAGTCGTAGTTACAGCAACAAATACAAACGATCAGTGGGTTATAAGTAAGTCTGATCATAAACATAATCATGCATTGTGCACACCTGCTATGACACCATTTATGCGTTCTAATAGAGCTGTAAGTAAGGCTGATATCGATGAGGCAACAACATTGAAAGAGGTCGGTGTTGGCACGTCACAAGTAATGAACTATTTAACGCAGCAGGCAAGGGGCTATCATAATGTTGGATTTACACATAAAGACCTCTACAATGCACTTCAAAGAGGTAAAGCAAAGGAAATCGTCGATGGGGATGTGAATTCGCTTATTGCCTACTTTGATTATAAGAAACATGATGATCCCGAGTTTTTTATGACATACTCGGTAGACGAATCGGGGGCATTGTATAATCTTATTTAGTTGGATTCTACATCGAGATCGGATTACACATGCTTCGGTGATGTAATTGCGTTCGACACAACGTACAAAGATAATTTGTATGGTCGACCAATTATGCCTATTGTTGGTGTCAATCATCACCATAACACAATTGTGTTTGCCACTGCCATAATCGCTGACGAGACGTCTCAATCTTTTGAGTGGGTGCTACAGAATTTTTTAGAAGCCATGATGAATAAATCACCTATTTCCATTGTAACCGATGGGGATAGGACAATGCAGAGGGCTATCAAATCTGTTATCTCTTATGCTAAGCACAGATTATGTTCTTGGCATCTTTCTCGCAATGCACAAGCTAACATTGGTGACCCAAAGTTTACAGCAGCATTCTCAAAATGCATGGCTTCCTGTGGAAAACCAAGGAATTTGATATTCAATGGCGTTCGGTTATTTCAGAATTTAACGTCCAAAAGCATCCATGGGTGATTGAGAAGGGAAATACACGACACTTATGGGCACAAGCATATCTAACCGGTCATTTCTTTGCCAATATTCGCTCAACACAAAGGTGTGAGTCTATGAATGCTTCACTAGCTATTGCACTGAAACACAAGAAGACATATTTAGATGTTGTTCGTGCAATTGAAGATGAAATTAGTAGAATGCGTATGAACGAGTTGAAAGCGGATTACTTAAGTTCCCATACGAAGCCCTTCCATATCACAAAACTGGTCGACCTTGAAAGCCATGCCGCTGCGATTTTTACCCGCGAATCTTTTCGTGTGTTCCAATATGAACTTATACGGGAGACATTGTACCGGATTGAGGCAGAGATTAAGTCCTTATCAGATGAATGTCAACATTATATTTTGTCAAAGTACGCAGAAAAAAATAGGAAATTTGAAATTAGTTTTGATTCTCGTACGAAAACTCTAATTTGCTCCTGCAAAAAATTCGAGACCGTTGGACTTCCGTGTCGCCATCAACTTCACATTTTGAAGCAATTGGACTACACATATTTTCCCGGGACTTTGATTCAAAGTAGGTTGACTAATGACGCGAAGGCTTCTGCACCCAGCTATGTTGATTTGAATGTGTCTCCAGAAGTGATGCAAATGGCAAGGTTCGCTGCTCTACGTTCAACGTCAAGTAGGTTATGCTACATTGCATCAAAGACAGACGAGTCTTTCAAAACCGCAAGAGATGAGATGAAAAAACTAATAGAAGAATTAGAAAACTCGTTTGGTTTGAATGATTCAGTCAACCAGAGCATTGTAGTAAACAATGTTCGTGACCCTCAACGAAAATAACGCAAGCGAAAAGAAGTGCCGAAGAACAAGGTCGAGAAGAAAATTAGGCGATGTGGGTACTGCAACGGTGAGGGACATAACAAACTAACATGTCCTCAAGTCAAGCTCAGTTTGAGTACAAGCACACAGCCTACATCAACTGATTTTTTCGAAGACGGAATGGAATGACAACGATCTCCATATATCGTAAAATTCAACATGACTCCTATTGTATGTACATATAAATATTTTGAATGAAGGAAGAAAAACTGCGTTACTTACAATTACCGACACAATATTAAAACGTGTCGATATAGGTTGTAAGACCTATTCGCTCATAAAACCGGTATATTTATACATGTTATATTACAAAATTATCTATTACATTATAATTCTGGGTTCCGATTTGTAAATGTCGACACTTTTTTAAATGGTATCGACACATTTTTCTTCCAATCTGGACATAAAGTACCGACACAATATTAGAAAGTGTCGATATAGGTTGTAGACCTATTCGCTCATAAAACTGGTATATTTATACAGGTTATATTACAAAATTATCTATTACATTATAAATCTGGGTTCCGATGTGTAAATGTCGACACTTTTTTAAATGGTATCGACACATTTTTCTTCCAATCTGGGCATAAAGTACCGACACAATATTAGAAAGTGTCGATATAGGTTGTAGACATATTCACTCATAAAATCGGTATATTTATACCGGTTATATTACAAAATTATCTATTACATTATAAATCTGGGTTCCGATGTGTAAATGTCGACACTTTTTTAAATGGTATCGACACATTTTTCTTCCAATCTGGACATAAAGTACCGACACAATATTAGAAAGTGTCGATATAGGTTGTAGACATATTCGCTCATAAAACCGGTATATTTATACCGATTATATTACAAAATTATCTATTACATTATAATTCTGGGTTCCGATTTGTAAATGTCGACACTTTTTGACAATGTATCGACACATTTTTCTTCCAATCTGGACATAAAGTACCGACACAATATTAGAAAGTGTTGATATAGGTTGTAGACCTATTCGCTCATAAAACCGGTATATTTATACCGGTTATATTACAAAATTATTTATTACATTATAAATCTGGGTTCCGATGTGTAAATGTCGACACTTTTTTAAATGGTATCGACACATTTTTCTTCCAATCTGGACATAAAGTACCGACACAATATTAGAAAGTGTCGATATAGGTTGTAGACATATTCGCTCATAAAACCGGTATATTTATACCGGTTATATTACAAAATTATCTATTACATTATAATTCTGGGTTCCGATTTGTAAATGTCAAGACTTTTTGACAATGTATCGACACATTTTTCTTCCAATCTGGACATAAAGTACCGACACAATATTAGAAAGTGTCGATATAGGTTGTAGACCTATTCGCTCATAAAACCAGTATATTTATACCGGTTATATTATAAAATTATCTATTATATTATAAATCTGGATTCCGATGTGTAAATGTCGACACTTTTTTAAATGGTATCGACACATTTTTCTTCCAATCTGGACATAAAGTACCGACACAATATTAG